AAACATCGCAAACGCAAAATAATCACAAAAAGGCAAAAGGGAATACCAATTCCCCCCCAAAAAAGAACACAACAAGATACAAAAGCAAAGGGTGATAATTACAAATGGACCCTACATAATGAATGCATAAAGACCACAAGCAAAGGGGAAGACAAAGAAAGTGTATGAGCTGGTTAGATATTTAAACTAAGTGTAGTGCAGTGCAGTGCAGCGCAGCGCAGGTTGAATAATATACCCCTTGATAAGAGCTAATAATGATTAACTTAACTATGACATGTATAATCTAAGATTAAACTGAAGTTTAAATGCTAAGTTTATTTAAAACTAAAGTTTATTTGGCTAAGTTTATTGGTTTAAGTATATTCACACAATCATACTCACACGTCACACCTAAAAAAATTTGTAAATGATTAAAGATAATACAGTATGGAAATAAACGAGAACACCGGTGAAGCTTGTACAAGCGCAACTAAATGCTAACTAATTAAGCTGCAGCTAGGTATAAACAAACGCAAATTGATATGGATATGTGTACACCGAATGAAAATAAATGCAGTTGACACTACATCTTATTGAGGGTAAATAACCTGCAGGTATATATGTAAACAATAGCAATGCTACTAACTGTAAAGGTATTTGAAGAAACGACAAGGAGTTATGCCAGGCAAATATTTACAAGTTCATAATGAACAGAAAATTCAAAGATGAATGTTTACAGACATGTCAAATGTAAACAAAGACAAAGCAATATTGCAACAAAAAATGTAGAAACAGTACTTACAGTTCAAGAAGAACAATATAAATATATCCAATTAGATACGAGAAACAAAATAGTCCGGAAAATGAGTCACGATTCACAATCACAATCACTGAACCAAGTCCAGCAAATTGTCAACTTGACCTGCCTTAGAGTCTCTGGGTCAAGGTCGCTGTCAAAGATCAGTAAGTCCTAGGGTCACAAGACCCAACCACATAGACCTGACAATCACTCGCGAGATGGCCAAATCGACCATAATTACAGTTCTTTCACACACTTGCATTCCATGCGGGGATCCAGGCATCACCTCACATAAAAATTCCTCACTGGGGGCTCCAAACATGTAACCGTGTTTTCTTGGCTTTATCCATTATTTTAGACAGATGACATCAAGACGGCTACGGGGTGTGAGGCTTATGTTTATTGATAATCACGATAGACACCCTGTAATAAGAAACAGATAATATAGTATATGCATATTAAAACATAATATATATCATATCATCATCAAATCAATACAATCATTTCTATTATTACTTACAACTAAGTATTATTAGATGATATGAAAGAAATGGCTTACAATACATATTACCTAAAATGGTTAAACATACCCTATGTGTGGCACAAGGGTGTGAAACGTGACACCCTTCAAATGTCACCGTTCATGGTATATCCTGCAGAAGAGAGCAGGAATAAATACTTAGAGTGACTAAATACAATGAAATAAATAACAAAATGCATAGTTTATGCAATTCCAGTAATGTAGATATAACTTAGCATGTATACAAGATAATATTAAAATACACTATTGCTTAGGTTTAAAGTTCAGCCTCTAAACCACATTCATTCAAAACATTAACATTAATAGAAATATATGATTCAATGTAAATATAATTACTTCTTAGATGCTTATTTATAATGCATAATCTTTGATTACTATTTAATTCTATTTAGAAATAAAGATAAATTATAAACTAACCTTTTGTGGTGATCTATCAATAGTCCCAGTGCAGTGCATAGTGAAGTGGCAATATGGAGTTAGTCAGAGAAAGAAGGTACAGTTTGAATTTGGCCAATCACAGGATCGCTTGGGGTGTGACTGATCAGCGGAGGGCTGGACAAAGAATGTAGTTGAGCTTGGGTTGTGATTGATCACTGAGGCCTGGACTTAGAATGATGGGATAAAAACAAACACACACCTCTGTTGAATAAAGTTCAACAGAAACAAAACTTGAAATAGATGTATTTACTAAAAGACTAAAATACAAATATATACACCTGCTACATTATCATATTGCCATGACTGTGTAAAAGCATCTACTACTTCTGTGCCAGGGCACCAAGATCTGGAATTGAACCTGCACAACTTAGCATTATAATGACTAGCAAATCTATCAACAGTATGTGGACCCCACTTCTGGTCTAGCAACTTGAAGACAGCATCAGTAACAATCCAGTCATCAGCATCTTCAAATTTACTTAACGCATCTGCTCTATCGTTCTCTGAACGTGGAATCCAGCTAAACTTTATCCTGATGTTATACATCCTAACCACGGTGAACACGGACATAGCAAGCTCCTGTAAGGATGAATTGAAACTACCAAACGAAACAATTTGACAGCAAGCCTTGCTATCTGAGAACCACTTAACAGTCTGATTAGACAGAACCTCTCTGAAAACGTTCAAAGATAATTCAACAGCTTTCAACTCCCGCCAAGTTGAACTCTTGCCCACTTGATCCTCGTCCCATGAACACTGAAATACCCAGTCAGAATTCTGTATATAAGCAGCACAGCCCTTGGAACTAGCATCTCATCAAAAGGTCAAAACTGGGACAAAAGTTTCATAAAATCTTCTGCTATTAAAAGTGTAAACATTATCTCTCCAGAATAAAAGTTCAAAAACACACAGGGGGTCAACTAGACTTTGCTTTCTATCCCAACTTGAAGCTCTTTGTATTACTGAATACATGCGTCTAGTCAAAATTCTGCAAACATCCCCAAAAACTGGTGAAAGAGAGATAATTTGTCTTGTTAAACTAGCCAGGTTACTGCTGTGAATTGCGGTAAACCTGCCAAGAATCCTGCACATGTGTTTCTCACATGCTCTAATCTCCTAGAAGGAATAGATGTCACACCTGTGTCAAGATTCAAATTCAGCCCGAGCCATTCAAGGTGTCTTGTGGGTTCCCAAACTGACTTCTGATCGTTACAAACAAAGCCTGCTCTGCACAAAGAAGATTTAACAAACCAGATCGCTCCTTGCCTAAGGCTTCAGACGAAGCAAACCCAAATCCATCATCTAAATAAACTACAACATCTACAGAATGTTTTCTCCAGTATCTAACTAATGGCCTAAAACACTTAGTAAATATATAAGGGGCCGAGGTTAGACCAAAAGGTAAAGCTGTGAAACAATAAAAACGCTGTACACCTTTAACCGACCAAGAAAACCCTAAAAACGTGTGTTGACTAGGGTGAATATCTATGTGGTGATACCCAGACTTAAGATCAAACTTGTACATGTATCCAAAAGGTCTAACGAAATCCAAAGCAACCTTGTAATCCTCAAAGACCATCTTTTCTTTCCAAACATATTTGTTTACTACTCTTAGGTCTAAAATCAACCTTTTCTTACCAGAGCTTTGAATGGCAACTGATAGGGGTTTACAACCTGAGGTGAGTCTACGACTTCAACAATACATTTGTTTAACATGAGATCCTGGATAGCCTCCGAGACAAAGTCGCTATGTTTTTACAGCAGAAGCGTTGTTCTTACTACAAGACAAGGGAGGCGACTCCACAAAGGGGATGATGTAACCTTCTGTAATAGTTCTAATGATGAATTCTGGTGCTTCTATATCCTTCCAAAATGAGATATGCCTCTTAAGATTTTCCTTAATGTTATGCTTACACGCTGACGTGTCTGTTCTGTCAAGATAACTAGGTACAGGTACAAAATCAGTACTAATACCTCTGGTTTCAGGTTTGACTTTGTCTATGGATGAAACATCAAGCTGTGACCTACTACTAGGCTGTTTTGATATTGAACGGGAGACGTGTGGCAAATCCATGTTAGTTTTTCATTTAATACTTCTGCTTGAGGTCTGATCCCCTGAATAATCACTGCTTTTTGCAGGCCTCTGTAGACTGAAGTCCTTGTGGTGGGTTTTACTTGACTGTGATGACCTCTGGGCGGCTGCAAGGGGACATGTGGCTCTCCAGTGCCCAAAGGCTCCGCAAAAGTATCATTGTTTGTTTGGAAGTGGTGTTTTCCTGGTTTGAAAACGAAAGGGCTGGTTCTGCTGAACCTGAGAGGCCTGTTTAGGTAATTCGCTGTTAGGATTGGGGAAAGTTGCAGAAGGATAAGGACTATAACCTCAACCACGAGAATTGAAAGAAGTGAGGCGCTTTCTACGCTGTGCCTTACTTTCTGCTCTCTTAAAACGTCTCTCTTCATCCGAGTTTGAAGCGAACTCGTCCCCTTCCAACTCCGAGACTACTGCCCAAACGGCTGGAGATCTGTCTACAAGTCTAATGTGCTTGTTTCTTTTACTGATATTAGAGCTAATTTCTCTCAAGACATGCACACAATCGACTGTGTTATCCCGATTGAGAAATCGAAATGCAGAGTCAAACTGATCCAACATACCAATGTTGAATTTATACTGTAACTGATTCCCTTTGAATCTAAACTGTGGAGAGTCAAAGTCTTTTCTAGCTCTCTTAATAACAGAGAACGACCTCTGCTCAGTTTCATCAATAATTTCACTTTTGAAAGTTTTCAACTTACAGTCCATATATTGCTTAAAAAGTTGAAACGTTTCGTACCCTTCAACAGAATCATGTGCTTTGTTAGGTTGACCAGGAATGTGTAGTTCTTCAAGGGAGTCAAGATTTTCCTGCTGTGGTTAATCCATTCCGAACAAAGAAGACAACAGCTCGCCTGTGTGACGCGAAGGCCTCGAGTGGTGTTTCATACACCTTGCCCTCTCCTCTGCACCTTAAGCACGTGACGCCACCGCTTTCACGTGCACAGCCTTCTTCAAATCACATTCGTTACCGTATTTACCCCATAGTAAATACATGTATGTTTGCCCACACGGTGTGGCTGTAACTAGCTGTTGGTAGACCAGATCCCCAGATAAATATAATCATGTCAATCATAAATAAAATACATTGGGCAGAAATTTTAGTTTTATTGCAAGCCTCCTTTTTATGATCTAATCGTGAACTGTTTCAGCACGGTGGGACATGTGGACATGTGGACTGGTGATGTTGATTGTCGTCTGTCGGGCGATTGGACATGGTCCCAAGGCCGCTCTCATCATTATTGACGTTCAAGACTGTTTCTTGGAAAAAGGGAGCCAGCCAGTCCCTGATGGGAAAGAAGTCATTCCAATTATCAACAGTATACGCAGTGCACATGAGAGCGCCTTTTCAATGGTTGTCTTATCTCAGGATTGGCACTGTTCAGACCATGTTTCATTTGCGTCCCAACATCCAGGTCACAAGCCTTATGACGTGGTCACGCTGCAGTATGACGCTGAAGGTACTTCCAAAATTACCAACTCCCTTATTATAAATGACTAATTTCACATCACAATAGATGAATTTCAGTAGTTACAAGAGTATTTTCCCAATGTTGCAGGGCATCTGTGTACCAGTGCACACTCCTGCAGCCAAGTTCACCTCAACCTCACCCAGAGACTGTGGCCCGACCACTGCATCATGAACGTAACGTCCGGCCCGACGTCATCAGGGATCGACAAAAGGCTTACAAGGAACCCATATGATGAGATCGTATGGAAGGGAAATGACTGTCAGGTATACCCATGATTACCATCATGGATAATAAACCATCCTTAGTCACCCAGGAATGTATTTACATTATAAAAGTATTACCCTGTAAGAAAATCAGAACCATTTAACATGTTAAGACGAAGACTCTCACTTGCTCTACCCCAACTGTCCTCTCATTATCACATTGGTAGTTGCGGATAAAACTTCCATAAGAAATCATATCATGTCAATTCCAAAGAGACATTACATTACGATCCCATTATAATGAACATATTTCCACAATTACGTATTTTGTCTGACGTAATTCTCAGTCAAGGAACGTGTTCTCGAACAGTGTTGTTATTTGTCATTTGGATGCAGACAGTCAAAAATATTTTGAACTCTCAATGAGACAAGAAAAGAATAGATCTGGTAAAAATCCTCGTGATTGTCGCGACGTAAGGCCCAAAATGGGGTCTAATGTTGGTGATCCCCCTTGGTATAAGTTGTATGCCTCCACTCGACTTCTGTCGAGATGATGATCCCTTTTACATCGGCACAAACACATTAGGCATGCCTAAATCTGGCGATCGGCTATCGTATTAGGAAAAACAAACTTTCCTTTTTCATGAAAAATATGTGCGATGCCGCTTGTCTCCAAACATTGAAACGACTCACTAATCCTTCTGCGTGAAAACACCTTGCGCAAAAGTTGAATGACAATAATGTTACGCCAAATCAAATAATGCAGATAACTGGTCCCCAAAACATCAATTCTGTGAACAATTACTGACATATTAATCCTGACCAGTACAAGCAAATATCCAACATTATTTCGCGAAACACTCCATCCCACACTGTGACATGCCAGCTTGTTGATGAAACTCCCGTCATGCTTCACTTCACTTCACTTCACTTTTTTCTCCAGAGAACCACGCATGGTGGCATTAGAGTACATTTTACATGTCAATCATTATATACAAGCAGTCAAAATTGCGGCGGACTAAAACAAGATATTGTAGGTAAACAGTTGTAGATATAATAAGCATGTCTATTATCTAAGTTTTGATATTACAGAGAAGATAACATTTATAAACTTTGCTAAGTTTCTTAAAACAGTGAAATATGATGATGTAAACAACCGTTTATAAGATACCATATTTGCAAATTTGGTTAGTTTTGTTGAAATAAATCTGTTTCTATTTTCATCAAAAGCAGGACAACGAAATATATAATGGTACTTGTCTGCAATTGTCGGAGAGTCACACAATTTACAAGTTTCTAAATTCCCTTGGAGTATTATACCAACGCCCTGTCTCAATAGGTAAACAATGATTGGATGTTCTAAATTTTAATATTGGGTAGTAAATATATTTGGGCAATAAGATAAAGGCATCAAGTGATGGTAGGGTCTTAATGTGTTTATAATATTGTCCCTTGGGACTTACTTCTATTGCATTCCTCCACACTTGGTAAAAGTGGTCTTTTAGTGTAGTTTCTACTTTATTATGCAGCCATGTTCTGTTAAAATTATCTGGGAACATATAAACATTACTTAGCCAACATGAGTTAAGGATATTTTCAACAAACTTAAGCCAAGAATAAGAATGATTATTTAACACACTATCTAAAGACATGAAATTGTACAGTACCGAGGATAACTTGAGGTGAGACAGGGGCGTGTTGTGTTTATACCAATAACTAATAATTCTTTTAGAAATATGGATGCTGATAGGAAATCTTCCAAATTCACCATATAAGAAATAATTCGGTGTGGACATTCTGAGACCAGAGGCTAATTTTAAAAACTTGGTATGTATATTTTCAAGTATATCTATTATAACATGTCCCCAAAATTCAGAGCCATATAACATAATGGGTAAAATCATTAAATCGAATGCTTTACATAAGCAGTCAAGTGGTAAATCATTGTTTCTTGCGATTTTCAATAACAAAAACATACATTTATTAGCTTGTGTGGCTAGAACACTTATACCAAATGTCAATTTTCTATTTTTGTGAAAGTTAAAACCTAGATATTTATAATTATCAACTATTTCAATTTTTTCTTTGCCATAGTAAAATGATAGCTTATTTACTCTACACTTACCACTTCCAAATATAACAATTTTAGTTTTATCACTATTTTCAGTTAGTTTCCATTTCTGACAATATATATGAAAATAATCTAGGGACCTCTGCAGGGCTGACGCTGAAGTAGCAAATAGCACTGTATCGTCTGCATATTACAGAACTAGTAGTCGTAGACAAACTAAATTCAAATCATGTTTGCTGGATATATCAACACCATTACAATCAAAATATTTAGCCAGGATTCTAAATCATTTATAAAGATAGAAAACAATAACGGAGAAAGGTTTTCTCCCCGTCAGACCCCCGAAAAACTTGGGAAAAACGCAGATTTTTCATGATTAAACTCGATACAGGATTTTATATTGGAATACATATTTTGTACTAATGTAAAGAATTTTCCTTGGATACCATAAGTTAACAATTTTGACCAAAGACCAACTCTCCAAACGTTGTCAAAAGCTTTAGAAAAGTCAATGAATGCACAGTACAATTTCTGCTTGTTGTGTTTTAGGAATTCTATAACTGAATTAACAACATGTTATCGACTGTTGAGTAACCTTTACGAAAACCGGCTTGGCAAGGGGATAATAAAGAGTTAATGTTTAAAAATCTGGATAATCTACAGTTAAGTATACTTGTAAAAAGTTTTCCCAGACAGCTCAAAATAGTAATGGGTCTATACGAACTAGGATCACACGAGTCACCTTTACCTTTATAGATAGGTTTAATGACCCCAATTAACCATGAGTCGGGAACTTCACCTGTGTCAAGTACGACATTAAAAGGTTCCTCTAAAAATGGGAGAAATAAATCTATTGAGTCAATTATATATTCGTTTTCTACAAAGTCTTCACCTGATGCTTTATTTCTTTTCAGTTGTGATACTGATTCACTAATTTCTTGTTGTGTTATGGCAACATTAAGAACTGAGCAATCTAGGGGTACATGTGTATTATTAATATCTTCAGGAACTATATCAATATACTCTTGTGCGTATATATTCTTAAAGTATTCATATAGTTCATTAACACTAGGGGATGAGTCATTATGCGCAGGATTACGTTTACACAGTAATTTCCAGTAGTCCCTTGGATTCTTCTTCTGCCAATCTCTAATTTCAATGGCTAATTTACATTTATATCATTTCATATATTTGTTCATACATTTCTTATACCCCTTAGCTGCATGACTAAAGTAGATATGGTTTTCTTGATTCCTATGTCTTCGATATTTTCTCCTAGCTTTATGGTAGTGTCTACGTTTCAGAGTACATTCTTTTCCGAACCAAGGATTGTTAACTTTATGTTTCTTATCATTGCCAGTATAATTATATGAGGGGGAAGAGCGTATGCCAAATGGATTTATCGCTGCATTTGTAAGAATATCAGATGATAACAGTTGCATTATTTATTAATTCATTTGCCTTCGTAGTGTCATCAACCACTTTATCTAATAATGTGCTTACATCTTGTATCTGCATAACATCAATATTGTTCCTGTATTGGTTTGTTTTTGATGAGTCATATCTTTTGGGTTTTGTAGAAATTGTTACAGGTTTACTGGTAGATGATTTAGGTACATTACTATACATTCTGCTATTCATTCTTGATAACGAAAAAGCTATAGGACAATGTACATCTGAGTATAGGGGAGAAAAATCAACAATTTCAAAGCTCTTAAAATATGACAGGCACCTGTTGGAACATATGACGTAGTCAACAGTACTTGTATCCTTACAGGTAACCTTTCCGGATTTTGCGTCTTTGTCCATTCTTCCATTGCAAATAAACATATTAAATTGTTTACAGATATCAATCAATTTGTAACCGTAATTATTAATTTTGTTACTATCGTACGAGTATCGCTGACGTGGAAGTCCGAGTTCATCTAGAACAGATTCAGGATCAAAGTCATCTGACATTTCATCAGTATCAATATCTAATTCCTCTAACAAATGTTTATCTAAACAGACATATTCACACAGTGTTCCAGTACGAGCATTAAAATCTCCTGTAAGGATGACAGTTTCAGTGTGAGAGTACATATATAATAGTGCTTGTTCTAACTGATCAAACATGTCTGTAGTGGCGTACTTAGAACCTTCAGGTGGAAGGTACACAATACCAATTTAAAGGTCATCTTTGCTATTGAAAGCTAACTTAGATAGTTTAAAACACAGTATGTAATCCGATTCAAAATCTAATAAAGTGACATATTTAGAGAAACAAGGTTTAACTGCAAGGCCTATACCTCCCGAACGCCTGTCAACCAGGCCTCTGTGTTTCAAAAACAGTTTAAAACCATCAATTTCAATATCATCGAGTGTATCTGTTTTGGTTTCTTGAAGAGCAACAAAGTTAAAACTATTTACAAGATCCAAAAACTCTGGATAATTAAGTCGTTTTCTCAGACCGCACACATTTATGTTGATAACACTAATTTGTCCGAGTTTATTAACAAATAATTCTGAATTGTCATTTTCCACTGAGCAACTTTCGCTGAGAGGGCCAGTTTGTGCACAAGCTGGACTAGACTCTCGATCATGTAAACCAAGTGAGAAACGTGGTAGTTCAAGTGCACGACTCCTCGATTTTATAGCAATTGGGTCTTTACTGTCGAGTTCACCCTTGTTGTTTTTAAAAGGAATATGATGGCTAAAAACATTAGATGAAACATGTTCATAACATACCAGTTTATCTAGAGTTCTGGATGGTTCAGGTTTAGAGCGGCCCCTCGCGTAATGTCCAAATCGCCTGTAGACAACAGTCAGCGGTCTCAAAATTATAAATGTTTCTGGTGGTGTCAACATTATGTTTGCTGGCAACATTACTGGTGGAAACATAACGATTAATCTCATTAAACCTCCAAGCCCGGTTCCTGTCAAAAGATGCCGGATTGTCAGTAAAAGTGACACCGACTAAATCCATCTACTCTGACTTCTCCTCCGCGAGACATTCTTCAAGTGAGAGAGCGGTTTGATTCGAAACCATATATATAAGTGAAGTTACACCAGAGATATAATCAGATCATACAGAATCGTTGTTGCTACTGTTATTAAAGTTTTAATTATTCTGCAAAAATCTGTTCAAGTATTTTGTTTAAAATAATCTGAGGAACTTTTTTCTCAGCGAAAGAATATGCCATAAAGGAGTTAAGAGGTTGTTTATTTTGGTTCACAGTAACTTCACACGGCTATGGAAAACATGTATCACTATGCACGATCTCTACGTAAGATTTCGACAATTTGCTGGTGTTAATGTCAATGCATTTATTCCCTCAAGGGAAACAAAAATGTAAAAACGATAAATAGAATTCATCGTTCATCACTCGTGTTTTTTAATATGGGAAATATCAACCTCGTCGGATGAATCTTCTATAAGTCCACTGAATCCTGAAATGATCATGCCAGATACATCACTCCTGTAGATGCGGGAATCAATGTTGTCATGAATATGACAGGTGCAGACAATCACATTACTACATGTCAATATGTGTCCTTCGTCGAGATAGTGTGCTCAATCTATGTGTATAATGCCTTCTAATCTCAAGGTGGATTCCTACTCTGCATTTAACTCCAATGGAGGTCTGCGACACACACGGCTACATCGACTGCTACAGCGTAACAGCATCAGCGAGGTGTACGTTGTGGGACTTGCCCTGGACTACTGTGTATACTACACATCAGTGGACGCCCACAACCTAGGTACGTGTGGGAACAAGGCAATATGTTATCAGTTTCAAACAATTAAAATAATTCATGAATCAATAACTCAAGTTTCTCTTGTTATCCTCCACCCTCAGTATCGTTACTGAATATCGGTGGGATGAGCTCAGTATTTTGTTACTTTTGAAATATGCTGCATGTCCTCATGACGATGAGTTTTATGTTTACAAATACGACAAACCAATCAGAATGCGCGTAAGGATTGAGGTATTTTGATAAAAATACTCCCAAGCCCTTAAATCAATTACAGAAAAATTGTGTTGTATGAATTGTTGTTATCAATCAATCTTTATTCATAAAGTAGTTGAGGCCACCGGCCCATTCTACGGTTACACCATTGCCTGAGAGAGTAACAGCATATATACATTGGTACATTGATATACATTGTCCACATACATGATTGTCCTTTTTGCATTCATTTATACATAAACGTTGCAAGATTTGTAAGTGTTTCTGGACTTTTTAAGACATTAGTAAGTTAAATTTATCTTATGTTGGATATAAGTAGTATTTTTTTATATACAAACTCATGCTAGTGTAATAATCATAACACACAAATATACCAGTAACAATATTTAAGGGAACCCTCATGTTTTCACAGAAATAATATGTAAATAAATGGCGTTCTGGAATTCAGTCTTCGTTTTAAGGTCGAGATCTGCTCCATGCAATAATGCAGGCACCACAACTTCTGGGCATAATAGATACCAAACGCCGGAATGTATACCGTGATATCCTTCGCCATTCTCCTTGTAAGAGGGGCGGTCGGGTAGCCTAGTGGTTTAAGCGTTCGCTCGTCACGCCGAAGACCCGGGTTCGATTCCCGACATGGGTACAATGTGTGAAGCCCATTTCTGGTGTGCCCCACCGTGATATTGCTGGAATATTGCTAAAAGCGGCGTAAAACCATACTCACTCGCAGTCACTCGTCTTGTAAGTTATGCCCAAGCTGTTTCATATTCTGGAAACGCTGGGGCCAGTTGAGAACCTTTCCGCCCACAACATACAAAGGTGTTTAATCAGTAGGGGCGGTCGGGTAACCTAGTGATTAAAGCGTTCGCTCGTCACGCCGAAGACCCCGGTTCCATTCCCGATATGGGTACAATGTGTGAAGCAGTAGTATAGGTAATAGGGGTTCTGGCTCACTTCCACTGGAGCCGGATTCATATACCTATACTGCTACTACAGGGGGGATTTTTTATGCCAAAATGATTATGCGATTTAACGATAGTCATGAGATTAAGTTAAATTGACTCCAGCTCACCACCACCTGGAGTCAATGATATAATTTTTTATAGGTAATGATGGTTCTGGACCACTTCCACTGGAGCCAGATTCATATACCTATACTGCTACTACAGATGGCATTTTTTATGTCAAAATGATTATGTGATTCAACGATAGTCATGAGTTGTGTTAAACGAAACATCAATATTAATTAATAATGAATAAAATTTACTATAGCCCACGAGGATATTGGAAAGGTGTAGGAGCAATAAAAAAATTAGCCACCGCGGCTAAGGTATCTAAAGATGTGGCTAAGGATTGGTTAAAGAAACAAGCGATGTGGCAAATATACTTACCGGCACCGCGTTATATACCGAGGAAGAAGTTTGATATTTTTACAACGAATGAAGTTCATCAGGCTGACCTCTTGTTTCTTCCCCACGATAAGGTAAAACGCAAAACGTATAAATACGCTTTAACCGTAGTGGATGTGGCTAGTCTATACAAAGAGGCTGAGCCATTAACATCGAAAGAATCAACAGAGGTAGCTAATGCACTGAGTCGCATATATAAACGTGGACCACTAAAATGGCCTAAGCTATTTCAAGTAGATCCCGGTCGCGAGTTTATGGGATCGGTAACTAAACTGTTAACAAAGCACAATGTCGAAATCAGGCGTGGTGAAAGAGAGGCCCACCGCAGTCAAGCTATCGTCGAAAGATTTAACAGGACATTAGCGGAACGTTTGTTTGGCTATCAGGATGGGATTGAAATGAAATCGGAACGATTGAGATCAACCGAATGGGTGACACGATTATCAGCCGTTGTATCAGCGCTGAATAATGAAGTAACGAGATTAATAGGGAAGAAACCATCCCATGCTATTAAAATGAAATCCGTGACTTCCGAATCTTCAGCACCTAGGAGAGGCAAAGAACGAAAACTTCCGGATAGAGTAAGGGTAAGATATTTATACCAGGCCGGTGAACTCGAAGGAGGCCTACGTCGTGCAACCGATCCGATTTGGTCTCTTAAGACGTATAACATTAGTCGATTGGTTACGAAAGAAGGAGAGCCTATTCTTTATTATCTTCAAGATGGACTGGGTAGGGCATTTGTACGAGAAGAGTTGTTCATAGTTCCCGACGGTACGGTATTACCACCATAACCATAAGCATAGGTAGTTACACCATCATTATCAATCCATCTCTTTGTATCTAAGGGGGATAATGATGTCTTGTTCATTCTTAATCCATATATCCTATGATTGTAACTTCTTAAAGAGTTCATCTCGTGTTTGAACGTTCTACCGTTAAATAATGATTCTTTATACTGTTTGTGTTTGATATGCTTTTTTACAACATACTTCTTAACGCCCTTAGCTTTTCTTATCTCCCCATTATCGGACTTTTTTATAGAATACATCTTAGGTCTTAATCCCACATACTCCGCTATAGGGGTGCCAGCACATTCATCCTTCATCTTACCTAACACCTTTTTATTTACAACGCTGTGCAGTGGATTATCTTTTGGGTAATCGCTCGTGTCGTACATATCTATTTTTTCTGCCATATCTTTATACACATCCTCGGTTTGTATTTCCATCAACAAAGAATCTGTGTCGGTATATAAAACCTCGCATCTATCGCCGTATTGCTTCTTAAGTTCGTTGTAATAAAAGTCATACAATAAGTGTTTTGACAAGTCGAGAATACTCATACCGACGTACACCGGTCTGTTGAATTTTATATTACTCTTTAGCATATGTAACTCGGCTAAGTCGTTATCGAATATCTTGCTTCTGTTAAAAGCCGGACTGGCTATAAGTTTCCTGAGTCTTTCTTCATCATTAGATCTGACAAATTTAAGATCAACACGCTTCCTTAGATTCCCCATAGTTTTACCAAATACCGAGTTATTCATGAGCTTATATAGATTCTTTTCGAAATCGCTGGTAGCTATCTTTCTTAAATCTGTGTTCAACCTTATATAGGGCTCCATCCAAGGGCTTTGATCGAACTTTAGAACTCTGTGTATTTTCTTAAGTTTCATACCTAACGATAGATACAACTGGAGATTTCTGTAGTGAACTATATATTTTGTCTTATCCATCAAATTTGGTACGAGTTTTTCTACGTTAGCTAACCTACTATAACCCATCAAGGAGTGTTGATATTCCGACATCCAGTCTTTATTAACCATTAATCTTTCGGGAGCTAGCGGATAACTGTTATGGTCTTTATGTAACGAACTTGGATATTCCAAGTCAACTTCTAGTATGTACCCTTTATTCACATCATTCACATCGATATTATGGATATTATTCACATTGATATCATCGGCCCATTCAAACCCACCTGTGGGTAAAGGTTGACTCATAGCCCATCCGTACAAATTGTTAGCGTCGAGATATAATATGTGCGTGTCGGGTTTACTGGGATCGTATCCTTCCACTAATTTATTATTAGCCTTAGAATACCTTTTCGCTGCCATCGATATACCACCTCTTAATCCTTTCTCAATAAACAAGTGCATATCGTTATCTGTGAGTAGTTTTAGTTCTACGCCGGTCTTCTTCAACAATGCATCCCACTATAGTCCGGGACTGGAATAGTACCATGCCGGGTCCAAGCCGTATTGTTTTAAACATGTCTTTCTAAATATCTCGAATATATCGGCGAGTAACAGTACATCGGTTTTTAAGTACAGATCGTGATAATCGCCTAAATTCTTACAACCTTATTTATCCCAGACCATCAGAGCGTGTTCATAATCGGCATCTGTTATTCTAGATTCTGTTAAGTTACTATAGAATGATTCGAGGGGTGGTAATTCAGTTTCTTGGAATCTAGACCAATCATCCATATATTCGTAAGGATATACACCTTTTCTCAGCAACAAATGACGAGTTATCTTATCGGTATATTGATTTGTTATCGCGAAGTCATCGGGATTGTTCGCATTAGCTAAATTGTCCAGGGAAGATAACAGAAACTGTACGGAGTCTATGAATCTAAGCCCATTACTTTGCTTTATTCTAGATTTCCCATCCTTGTCCCTATAATGTATAGGTTTAGTCAACGAGAACGATATGTATTTTTCCATATTGTTAGGAATGCGCGTTAAACCGCCGTCGGTCTTTGAGATAGCTTGCATAATGAGATGAGAATCATATCCCCTAAGGTTGTGAAACACAACGGGGATGGGTATTGTTTGAGATTTCATTTTTAGTTTCAAGTTACACTCGTTATGAGCGGCCCCCCGATAATTACCCGTGACGTGGCAATGATCTCTTACGGAATCCCCATCCAGGGGTTTGTTACAAACGTGACAAATCGTTGACTTCTTATGGGCCCTCCAATCATCCCTCCTCATACGCATGGGTTTCTTACACGATAATTTTTCCCTGATTATTCTCTCTTCATTTTGTAGATATTCTAGGAACTTTCCCGCTGCATCGGGACCTCTGTAAATCACGGGCGGGTTTGTTTTCCCATCATACCTTACAACTATATATCCAAACCCACAAGGAATATGTTCTTGAGTTTTGTACGTAAAACTACTATCTTGTTTGCCTAGGTTGGTATTTTCTATGGGTTTGATAAGCGCTTCGAAGTCGGCGTAAATTACATACGGTACTGGCATTTGATTACAATAATGTTCAAATTTTAATATATTTTTTCCCTCTTTAGGCATATCGATCCTGATAGCATTCTGTCCAACACCTCTACAGTCTTCTTTATGCGCTTCTA